GTATGTATGTATGTATGTATGTATGTATGTATGTATGTATGTATGTGCATATATATATATATGTACACATACCCATGTGTCATATATCTACGACATTACGAACGATGCGAGGATGCTAAGCGGCTGCTAGGCACAAGCCGCAGCTGTCTTACGCGACCTGAGCGCCAAAGCGTCGATGTGTAGAAACTTCAAGCAACTACGATCATCAGATGTGGAGGGCTGCAGAAGAGAGTCCGATCAACTATTGTTGCAAAACTATTGGGGACGGGAAATGGCTTGCTTCTGTTTGCATCGTTTTGGGTTTATGCTGCTTTGCAAATGTCTCCGCAATAAGAGCCGCACGCAGCTCACAATGAGGTGTCCAAGAGACTTTGCTACATCTACAACCAGGTTCGGCACATTCTGCAAACAGTCCGAGCTGTGTGGAGGACTCCCTGGACGCTTTCATGAATGCCACGGTGGCGGAGCTCCGACAGGACGCTGCGCTTTTTCTGTGCTTTCTGGAGGATCTGGACGTGCACGAAGGTACAGGACTCTAGTCTTCCGATTTTTGAGTTGAGCTTTTGGCGATTTTACGTGCGGGCAGCAGGACCGCGGAGACAAGCTCCAAAGGCGCGCTGAGGCGGTACCCAGTGCATCTCAGGGCCCTTGATTGCTCGAGCGCGAGCCTTGTCAGGTGATCAGCGAGCGATTGGTGAAGTTCGAGGTCCTTGAATCATGAGGCTTGGCATCGAGGCATCTCTGTCTATCCTTTTCGCAGGCAATGCTCCGGGAAGCCAAGAAGAACACAGAGGAGGCCGCCGATCAGTGCTACAGTACAAGTAGCTCCTGTTGAGCCGTCGAACCCGCTAGGTCCATTCGGTGCCGGTGAAGCGGCAGAAGACCGAGGCGACGGCTGCGCGTACAAGGAAACCTCGCCCGTCCTGACTGTGCTACTGAGACCTTCTCTTGCTTCAGCTTTAGCTTTAGCCCATGTTTCGACAGCTACCGAGCATCTTAGTCCTGATCCAATGTCAGATCTTTTTACTCAAACTGTCAGCATTGGATGCAGAACTACCTCGCAGTGCAACACTTGCCTGGAATCAGCCGAAATGGCTTTGCCTCAGGTAGCAGGTGCTCCCGCTGCGCCTGCGTCCAAATCAAAGCACCTGGTATGCATGCATAATATTAAGATTCTTCCAGCAAGTGCAAACTGGGCTTCACAGTCATGGTTTGCGAACGTTGATTCCGGTCTTTGGTCAGATGCTGCGTTAAAAACCTGCAAGGGTCGGTGCTTTTTGGAACTGCATCAGACATAGACGCCCCGCGAAGAGCGCGACTTCCCAACTGCAGCCGTCTCCCCTCCGCTGCCAGGAACGCGCCGACCTCCACTGCAGAGGTGTTGGCCCGACTCACTGAGAAGGCGGCGCTTCACAAAGTATACTTGACATTTCATGGGTCAATGATTCTGCAGAGCGCAAATGAGACTGCAAGCCCAGACACAGACTGCAGAACTGCAGAAGTCGCAAGTCCGCCCCCCAAAGTCTTCCATCTCGCCCTGTTGCAAGGAAGCGAAGGCTGCAGCCAAGGCTGAAAAAGCAGAGCAGAAAGCCGAGGAAGTCCGGGACTCACGACGCTGTCCGCGTCCAAAACTGCAGTCGAGGATTGAATCAGGAAGCGAAGAACATTTTGAGAGAGCAGGGGATGCTAAGAAATAGTCATTCAACTGGAAAACGAGTACTGAGACATTCGAGGCTCCTCCGGCTCAGTACGGCTTACGAAAGTCCATGCGGTGATCGCACTCTGCGTCCTGAAAAGGAAGCTGTGCTTCGGGCGCCGGCTCGTGCCGGGCCATCAGCGGAGCTCAAGGTGGGGGGTCGGAGCGCAGAGGGGCGGGAGATCGCTCTCCCTGTTTGTGCAGTTGATGTTGTTTTGCTTTTTCGCGGCTTTTGGAGTTTGATACTCAGGGGAGCGTGAAGCGGCTTCCAGCGCTGTCAGACCCGTCTAGGATCCGTCCGAAAGGTTTGCAGACTCAGACAGCCATTTTGATCGTGAGGCTACCGAAGTGAAAGCCGAAGCTCCGGGCCCGTCGGCAGCGCCAGCGACGTGCTGGGCTCGGCTTGCTTGGGCTTGGGAAGAAGTCTACGAGATGTGTCTCGCGCCTAGCAGCCGGCGAGAGCCAAAGAAGCTCAGGCCCGACCCTGCTCCGAAGGCGCCAAAGCTTTCGCTCCTTGCAACTCCTTCAACTTCCAGAGGGTTGAATGTGCCCCCTGGGAGGCTGCGATGGCGCCCCCCACACGAGCGCCTTCCAAGAGGGTGCACATCGACCCGGAGCGGGACCGCCCTTCTCTCTTGGCGCTTGTTTCGGTGGAGGGGTTTTGGGCTGTCCCAAGAAGGCCGGCCTGCAGTGCATGGCGGCCGAGCCTGCCGCAAAGAAGAAGAAGGCCACCGCTGGATCTGATCTTTACAGCATGTACCCAAGAACGAAAGCCCGAGCCCGGAAGGTTTACGGCGTTGCCATGCCGCCCTCTCGTGACTTGGATCAGGCGAAGAGCGGTGAAGGGAAGTGTTCCCACGGCCATGCCGTCTTCCTGTCGTAACTTGAGAATCAGCGCGCAGAAGAACGTGAAGAGCTTGTAAGATCATCTCTGCCCGCGAACAGCGAAACAGCGCATGTCCTGGTCATTAGGCACTCCTCACTGACCTTCTCGTGTGCCAGGCCGCTTCCGGAGAATAGCGACACGAGTGCCCGGAAAGACGAAGAGCTCTTGATGGGTGTGTGGTTGAAGGCTGAAGGTTTGGAGGGGTCAGCACTCCGAAAGATCAAGTTCGGGGAAGCAGAAGCCTACCTGTGATCCTGGATTCGGCAATCATCGCTGCTTATGCTGTTTGCGGCCTGGGGCGTTTAGTGCAAGTACAGACAGCCTCGCTGCTTTTGCTGCCTCCCTGTTCGCAAACTTCTGGCTCGAAGCGTAAGTGCTTTTAATGAAGATTTTCACGCAGCCGCAAACCTCGCCTGAGTAGCGTGAGCTGGCTGCATTTAGAAAGAGATTGGAGCTTCGGAAGCCCCTTATGCCCAATGGAAGACGGAGCGAGAGTCGAAAGAGCGAGAGAGAGAGAGAGAGAGAGACAGCAAGAGAGCCCTGGCAGTGGGGGCAACCCTGCTGCCCATAA